ATTCAATAAGTGTACAAGACTGGGCGTGATAGCCAACCGATACAGGAGCGATTACTAGGGACCCCGGACCGTAGGTAGGCCGAGGCCGATCTGAGGGAAATTAGCTAGCTAGGCAAGGGGAGTTGCTAGACATTACTAGGACAATAAATGAGGTCTTCTAATTACTCGACTAGCGCGGTACAGACATAGTACATCGGGACATAGTAAATGAACATAGGCATTAGACATAAGCATAGACATCAGACATGCTATAATAATATGTAGTAATACAGACATGTGAATAACTGGTACAATGAATGGTAACAAGAGTCCTGGTGTCAGGCGTGTTCACATATCTTGGTATGTACATATCTATACAACACCTACTCCGTCACATTAGACCTGCTGTCACATAGCATTACACCTACTCCGTCACATAGCATTACATCTATTCCGTCATATAGCATTACACCTAAACCGTCACATAGTATTACACCTACTCCGTCACATACAGGTAAGACCTGCTCCGTTACATTAAACCTGCTCCATTACTTAGTATTACACCCACTCCGTCACATAGCACTAGATTATGCTCGCAATGAGGTCAACACCATCACGATACTTTATCAAGATCTGTGAAGCCTTATGATGAGGCGCTGTATACATTACTGTCTTCACTTACATTACCATCTGTAAAGAAATCTTCCTAACGCATAATAAAATATTCGTATGTTTTATTCAACTACAGTAAGTGTGTGTGTGTGTGTGTGTATGGAACAGTGTAATCGTTATTGAACTCAATCACTTACACTTCCTCAGGTGTAATTTTATTTAACCATTTACAGCTGGGTAGACTAGGGGGCTTCGGACGCGAACCAGCAACTTTTAGGACTGGAAGCAAGTGTTGCATCAACTCAATCTCCGCAATCTTTCCTAGACATTTACGTCTTGTTAAATATATCTTCACTTTTCAGTTGAAAATGATAAATATTTGAAAATGTTTACATGTTTACTTTAGTTAAAAAATATTTTTGATGTTTCTTTTGAGATATTTTGTAATGAATTCGTACGAATGGAAATTATTCCAGCTGAAGATGAACCACCGTTAGGTTATGTTTAGGTGATCTTTACGTGGATTAAACCGGGGAGTGAATCTTTAGGTGCTCCTAAGATTTATATTAAAAATTAATAATAAGGGAACAGGAACTACGAATTTTCATCAGATAGTTTTTATAATGAAAGCGGTGAAAATTTATTAGATAAACAGCGAAGATCATTATAAGTCGCAACCACAATATTTGATATCAAGAAAACATAACGAAGAATTTACGGAGTGTGCTTGTTGCCTCTATCAATGATGAAGGCCACCAGCTATGATATAATCACACTTGGGAAGATAATACATGCATGTGAGGGGCTCTTGTCGAGATAGGCGCAACACACACACACACACACACACACAACATACAGTATACCCAAACAAGTCAGTCAAATATAATATATATATATATATATATATATATATATATATATATATATATATATATATATATATATATATATATATATATATATATATATATATGTAATATTCAGAAATTTCAGAGCTTTCAAGGTCGTCTGAGGGAAGAGAGCGCTCCCAGCACATAGTGGGAGGTTGTGGAACTAGGCCTATATGATATAAAAAATAATTTGCCGAATTAATAATGATGCGATTCATGAAGTTAAGGGACTATTATTGAATTTGGAATTATTATAGATCGTTTATCAGTCTGAATAATGTTACGGGTGTCCCAAGGAGTTATTAGTTAGGCGGAAAATATGTCACGTAGGCCTAAGCTAACGCCTTGAGAGGACACGAGGCTGGCTGGTCTCTCAGTCACGGAAGCATTCAGACAAACAAGACGTCCCTGCGCGTCCGTCACAGAAATAGTCACGTGGCCTAGTCACCTGTGTTGCACTATTGCAGTATAACAAGTAAGTCTCATTCGATCTCAGACAGGGTTAGATAGGGCAGTGGTAAAGTTAACAAGAGCTAACAGTGAGTTCATTTCAGGGTTTCCGTCAGAACCCACTTGACCGCTAGTTTGATTGCGAGAAATTGGCTGCGAGAGACTGACTGCCGTTTGAGACTGCCGTTGATGATTGAGGCTTGGCGATTGTCGCCTTCGGAACGATCAGTGTAGGCTTGTCACTGGTTAGCGGGGTAGCAAAGGATCTCTTGAGTGAACGAGTGCTCCCGACAACTAAAACGACACGGGACCAGCATCAGCAGTGGGTGATCAGGAGCGAACTCGTAACAATGGTTTTAAATTAGACAAATTTAGATTTAGGCGTGAAATAGGTAAACACTGGTTTGGAAACAGAGTAGTGGATGAATGGAACAAGTTACCAAATATCATCATTAACTCGAATACGCTGAATTGCTTCAAACATAGGTTGGATGCTCATATGAGCAATAGGGGTTGGGTGTAAACGGGACTGCCCAGTATGGGCCAATAGGCCCGCTGCAGTTTCCCCCATTCTTATGTTCTTATGTTACCACGTGGGTGCACAACACCACGTGTCCTCGTTCAGCTAGAAGTGTTACCAACTGGCCATAGACACCTGCTGGCGTTCTCTCTTCCTGCCCTTGGACGCACTGGGAGTACACTGATGCTATCTGAGTAAATTAATGGTCACACACTGAGACCATAAGTCTAGGAGATACCTAGAGGAACATTTTATCTCCCTTATTACGGGTGTATGTTGAGTTGGGTGGAGCATGGTTCACGAGTATTGGTGGACCCAGTAACATATCAATAATAGTGACTATATTTGTGTGTAGTTAATACCATTTCTCAGTTACTGATGTTATCTTGACGTGTGTGGTTTAATATTTCTTAAATAATTTTGATAGTATTGTTTTTTGAATGTTTGTGTCACTAAGTGGAACCAGAGTGATACTGTGATTTAATTCTTTTAATGCATTTAATTTTTCTTTATAATTCCGATCTCAGGTATAACCTTTGTTCCCCAGAGTAGTGTTTAAGTTAGGTTAGGAAGTGTGCATCTGTTGGGGTGATATAATTTTGTTGAAAGCCCCTAAGGCCTGTTTCATGTGTGCAAGCAACATTTCTTAATACTTTAAATTTATTGTTGCCTGAGTTTCTAATAATTTCAATATCATGTATAACTTTTATTCCCCAGAGTAGTGTTTTAAGTTCAAGTTAAGAGGTGCGCATATTGGTGTACCATTATTTGATTGTGTTTGTAGTGTTGGAGGGAATATAAGTGTCTAAATTTTACAGTGTGTCTCATTCATCCCAGTCACAGACGCTATCCTTCCACGGGTCACGGACAATTCATTTTGTTAGTAAATTTAAGTGCTCTTGTGCTGGTTCGAGATTTCTCACTAAGGGGTGCTTCCACTGCCATTACCATCTAATAATCTTTAATAAACCCCAAGTCAAGTGAGAAATTAAAGTCCAGTAAATTCCAACCGGTATATATATATATATATATATATATATATATATATATATATATATATATATATATATATATATATATATATAAATCGATGCTGTATGATGATTTAACTCATGAAGTACGAAGAGACATCCCTGCGTACGATGAATTGAACCCCCAGAGTAAGGAAAGGATAACGTCACGGCACTCAAGGGGTCATTGTGTGTTTGTGTCTGTCTGCCTGTGGTGTGTCTGTCTATGTGCCTGTTTTTCTGTGTGTACATCAAACGCATCCCAAAAGTGTACACGAGTGCAACACCAATTACGTCTTCTCGCCCTTTGTTGTGTGTTGACGTTGTCTAAAACATCCGCCGACCGCACCAATAGACCTCGCTATGGCGGTGCTCGTGAAAATAATACAGGGAAAATTTCAGGCCAGGAAAAGTGCTCGGTCCCATCCCTGTGTCACTGAGCACTTTGGCTATTCATTACACAGAGGGGCTGCGTGTTCTGACCTCGTCATAATGAAAGGGATGCAGGTGGCCAGTTGACCCTTAATGAAACATAACAAGGTAGATGACAATGTTGACAGATAGAAAGGTCAGAGGTCAGGAACTGTTTTCTTCAGTTTCATCCAGGATATTTTCTATAATAGGGAGTTGTGTCAGTCTTAACAACAGCTTAAAATACTGTGAGCTGCATCAGATCAAAAGAGGAGAGTTAAGTTCCTATCAAAACAAGATATGGTGATTGTTGTTGGAACCTGTATCCCGCCATCCCTTCCAATATTGTTTATTATGTATGAAGATAAGAGTTTCCTGAAGAATAAGTGAAGGTGAATGTTATAAGAAAATGTTTATGGGGTGAACAATCTCTAATATATATATATATATATATATATATATATATATATATATATATATATATATATATATATATATATATATATATCTTGATAAAATCACACGGGAAGATGGAAACAACGGAGTACCTTAGCTTTCGTCTTTATTCAAGACATTTCAGAAATATTCAGTTGCCTCTGAAGATGTGAATATATATATATATATATATATATATATATATATATATATATATATATATATATATATATATATATATATATATATATATATATATATATATATATATATATATATATATATATATATATATATATATATATATATATATCGGTCATTTTTTAAGCGGCTCTGGGTTTGTTCACGCAGGTGAGAGCTGTTGCGATTGTGGAATAGACTTAACAATCCTAAAACAGAATCATCAGCAATTGATTCTGTTGATCCTGTCTACCCCCCCCTCCTTCCTTCTCTCCATTATTTCTCAACTTCTTCCCACCCTTCTCCTTTCTTCCTACTTCCATCCTACTTGACCTCCCTTCCCCCTTCCAACATATTCCCCTCCACATTTTTTCTCTGGCTCTCTTGTCCCCTTCCTCCCTCTCCATCACCCTCACTCTCTCCCTCCCTCCCTCCTTGGTCTACAATGGTTGTTGCAGTACCTCCTTCTGGCTTCTATAAACAATGTTCTTAATGCAACTTTCTCATTTCCAGCTTTCGTGTTCTGCGCATTGCTGGAGTTTACTCTGGTCAATTACCTGTGGCGTAAACGACCTGGCGGTGCTGGAGGTAGTGAGAGCGGGTCGTCAGGAGGCGGCAGTAGAAGGCTTGGGGGACCCTGCAACGGCTTCAGAAATAATGAAGGTGAAAGCAGCAGCGGCAACATCCTGGGCGCCGCCACACTTACGGTAAGAACTCCTTGGTCTCCTCCTGCTCAGCACCTGAATACTAGACACCCCAACTTATTTTACAGAAGACAAATCACCTTAACTTTACCACCTAACTTAACCTAACTCATTCCAACAAAACCCAACCTAACCTAATTAATCTAACTTAACCTTGCAAATCATGGCCTAACTAAACCTAATCTAACCTAGCATAACATGACCTAACTCAACCCAACCAAAGAAAAAGTAATCTCAAGTAGCCTAACCTAAAAAAAATTAACAACCAAACAAAACAACCTACCCTAACCTAACATACAGGCAGCGTATGGTGGTTAATCTTTAGGTGAAATAAGCTGAGGTGTCTAATCTTCAGGTGATATCCTTCCGCTGTTACCTGCTACCACTTCTGCTTCTAGCTGCTGCCCTTTTTGCTGTAAACTCCACTTCACTATAAGCTTAAACTGTATTACCTAAACTTTTTCACTTATATCTTGTATGTTATTATCTGCATAAAGATGAAAATTACTATCAGCAGTTTCTCTTTTCATATGTTGTATCATGTCATTACGAGCGAGAGACACCAATAACAACTCTCCAGTTATTGTGTGTTGAGTTCTTATTGGTGTATATTTGAGCAAGACTTTTAAAGATGTTCTAATAACCCTTTTAGGACGACAGCTTAACAGACTGGTTTTCAAACACTTGTATGATGAAGATTTCGTTGGTTGAGTATGAGGATTTAATCTGTGGATGATAGTTTACTAGGATAAGTATTAAACACTTTTAAGATGTGGTTCATTTTATCATGGTCGATGGTCTAACCTTTCAGGATGAAGGTTTAATAGCATGATGGTTCATTATCTTTAGGATGGCGGTTCATTTAGTTAAGTTCACCGGTTTAACATTTTAAAGATGAAAGATTTAAACTATCTCTTGTAAAGGTTAAATATTTTAATCCATGTATGATCTCATCCATTCATAGAACTAAATGTCACTTCATACATACATTAGGATATCGGTAATAGGTATTTTGCTTTATACAGGATGACATATAAGCAGAGGATGACGTTACGATATCAGATTATTAACGTCTTGGAGGATACTTAAGAAAACCTAAACAAAGTTCACCTAACCTAACCTTAATCACCAAGACGATAACGCCTCCATATCGGAATATTAAACCCTTCGAAAAACAAGTTTGCCACATGATATTAACAAAAATAAATTCGCTTAACGATACGTTTAGCATACTGGGACGTAAAATTCCACGTTACTGTCTATTTAGTTTGTACAGTATATTATCTTGATATATGTTGGGGCTGCCTCAGGCAGAAGCTGCCATAACACAGGCCGTATGTGTCAGACGCTGAATCATAAACCGATAGAAAAATGATAATCGGTGTGTGATAAGTACAGCTGACTCATCACACTTTTTACGACTCCTGATTTGTTGAACGGATAGTAAATTTTTCACCTATGTGGTTGACAGTGTAAATAGTTTGGTTTATTGTTGTGATTTATATTAATACAGGTTGTTAGTATGTTTGTTTGGTTTGTTTTTTAACCTCCCGAATACGATGATTTAACCATATGATTATTTACCACTTTGAACAGAATGACTTAACCCACTTGAGTGTAATAACTTAGGCCCTGAGTTTTAATCATCCTCTTCTGTTGATGGGGGTCGTCGTGTTTACAACCAGACTTGTAAAAAAATAGTCACGAAGGACACCACACTACAGTTCTTGACAGGGAGGTGTGGTGGTAAAATTAACCTATAATATAGCAATTGGTTAATTTTACAGAAACGCCTCCCTGTCACGCATTGTAGTGCAGTGTCCTTCGTGACTATTTTTTTTTACAAGTCTGGTTGTAAACACGACGACTAGTCCGGTGGCTTGAAATACAGTCATTATAACCCACAAGGGTCAATTTGAATATTGTACCCCAACCGGATTGGGGTGTGGACAGGGGTGACAGCTAATTTTCAAAATGGCCGCATCGCCCAAATGTAATCGGCAATATCTCGCTTAATATGTAAACAAAAGACTTACTTTGGGGTGTTAATACCCAGGTTTTTAAGGCCAAAAAGTAAAAAAAAAATATATATTTTTCATGTAGGTGATGTCAGTCATGTTTTTACAAGATTTCCTCCCTTTATATATATATATATATATATATATATATATATATATATATATATATATATATATATATATATATATATATATATATATATATAAGCAAAGACAAATATTAAAGCAAATATCCCAAGGTGTACGTCGGTAAAGTCCTTACCTATAACCCAAGTTAGTTAAGTTCTGTCTATAGTATCCCTCAGTCACTATACCACAAACACAGTGTCTGGCTGGTATCACTATCAGTGTATACTTTTGGAGTGTCCTGGCCAACGATTATACCATAGTGACCTAGAGGTAATACAGGCGGTGCTTACCTGTTCCTAAGGTATGTGTGGGTACTGGAGTCTGTGGATACTGGAGGAACACGATGAGAGAGAGAGAGAGAGAGAGACTGGTGGGTAGGTGGTTTGGGTGTCTACCACTGTCTTGTGGTCACACTTTTCAGTGAATGGCTGTGGGAGAAACCCCGGAGAGAACCCCGGCTTGGGTTCCATGAGGCAGATAATGGACATATACATCATCTGGCAACCCCTGTAATCAACTGCTCTGGGTAACACATGCTTACAGAGCTCCAAAATAGACCTTAATGACGGAATACGCGGAAGAGGTGACTAACTTGAGAACCCAACGACCACTGACGGATGAAGGCAGTGCAAAGACGGACAAGTTACTAAGGGAGAACCCAACAAACTGGGCTATCAGCAGTCCAGTGCAACTCTCCCTCTCCTCAGTTGTTGCAGCTACTTGCTCCATTGGATCAGGAAAAGGGAGAGCCAAGATGACGGGGACAGGCAGTAATGACAGCCAAAAGTCCATAGTCACAACTCTGTACATGGACGGAACAGATGAGATAGTTGTTATGCTTATGGGAAGGGGGCTAGAAAGGGTGCCCAAACCATAGTTGGTCTGAAAATTCACCTGATAAGGCAACCGCACACAGTAACGTCATCTTAATGCAATCAAGAACATCACAACAGATCAAAACAAAAACAACTAGGCAACCTATTATGGTCACTGCATGGAATGTCAAGACTCTTTTTGATACTGGCATAAATGAGCGTCCTGAAAGAAGAATCGCCCTTGTGGCAAAGGAGCTGTCTAAATATAACATTGACATCTCAACCTTCTTCTGAAAGACTAACTTAAATACTTGTTGGGGGTCAATGAGAGCCTCATGATACTCTCCAAGTCCCACTGAATGACTCGCATCATGCCTCCTTCATCAGCGCATACAACCCAACACTGGATGCAAAGGATGACATCAAGGAGGCCTTTTACACTGACCTTGACAGAGTGCTAAACTTTATCCACAGAGAAGATAAGGTGACTTCATTGCCAGAGTTGGCAGAGATGCTGACTTATGGCAGGAAACCATAGGGAGAAACGGAGTGGGCAAGTGTAATCTCAACGGCCTACTCCTCTTCAGTAAGTGTGCTGAACGCAACCTCACTATCACCAATACCTTGTTTAGGCAGGCCGACAAGTTCAAGGGTTCGTGGCAACACTCACGGTGCAAATATTGGCATCTCATTGACAACATCTCTGTCAGAGAAAGATATCGCCGAGATGTTCTCATCACCACAGCCATGCATGGCTCACTCAGATCATTGTGAAACATCACCAGCTCGTCAAAGCAAAACTCCACCTTCACATCACCTCAAAACGGCGAAAGCAACAGGTCTTCAGAAGTGGTTTTAATACCGAGCAACTGGAGGATCAAGCAGTAGAGCCTGCTTTCAGAGAGAAGCTCGACGACAGGCTGACACACAACCCATCAACAAACAACCAGAATCCAAGCACGAAATGGGGTACCCTCAGAGCTATTATCATAAAAACCTGCAGTGATGAAAATAACCAGGAAATTGACGTTTTCCTTTCTGGTTAACGTGCTGCCTTCTGTGAATGGAAGAACAACCCTAAGTCTCAGATCAAAGTTGATACCTTCCTCCAGAAGTTTGCAATTGCCCAATGCAAACTTCGGGAAATTTAAGGCAAATGGTGGACTAAAACAAAAACAAAAACACCTGAAGCGCAAAAAACTGCAGATGAGCAACAAATGCGCGATTTTTCAACTCCACTAAAGCAATGTATGGACAAAACTACTCTTGGCGCGGCCCCCCGCCGCTCATGGGAAGATAACTCTTTAATTAAAAGTGAAGAGGGAATCCTTCAGCAATGGAAAGAGCATTATTATTTGTTGCTTAACCAGAACCCCGATGTGGGATGTCCTCAATACCCAACAGGTCCCTTAGCACCCATGGCTGGCCCATCTCGTCTATCCTCCATCACATGATAAGGTACCGTAGCTACTGTTATCAAGGAAATTAAAAATAACAAGGTCTGATAGAATCCCACCGAGGTGTATAAAGCAGAAGGACCTCTGTTTACCAGTCATCTTCACTGTCTCCTGGAGAATATACTGTATTTGAACAGGAGGAAATGCCCTAACATCTAAAAGACGTCTCCATTGTTAGTATCGGACTGTGGCAACTGCCGCTGGATCTCGATGCTGTCTGTAGCTTGCAATATTATCGCCCGAGTCCTCCTAAACAGAATATTTCCTGAGGTGAAAAAACTTCCTCCCAGAATCTCAATGTGGCTTTAGATCATTACGTGGTACTACTGACATGATCTTTGTTGCTCGCCAGTTACAGGAAAAGTAAAAAAAAAAAAACCAGCTCCGTGACTTGTACTACACAGTACGTCTCCATGTATGTACACAGTAAAAAAAAGTACCACATGGATTATGTGCGAAACAATATGACACCACGGACAAGGGTTAGTAGAATATGCATACCAACCCTCCCGGCACATCAGGTGATGTGTGGATCATTATGGAAGTCAGCAGACCCCCCTGCGCGATACTTTTTTTACTATCTG